ACTTAGTCAGTGAGAACTATTTGAAATATGGATGAATCAAGTGAAACAGACGTCATTTATTTTATATTTTGTACAAATGTTTATATTTGTTTATGTGTATAGGCATGCTTAAATAAAAGGGTTTAGGTATACCTACAGATATTTACTTTGTCAAGATATCATTTTGTATCCTTATTTCTGCTGTATAATTTATTATTATTAAAAGGATATATGTAATATTGACCATGCGTAGAAGAAATTATAACTTTATATTATTTTTCAGTAATGTTATTACCATTTCAAGATTCATAATCATAACTAACTTTTTTCTAATTATCAGTTCGTCATTGTTACCGTATTCATGATGGTCTCAACGTTAGAAAATTTTCATTTCAGAAGCGTATTATTTGAACAATATAAAATGTGTAGCTTTTTTTTAATGCTTCTGATATTGTTTTATTTGTACGATGAATGGCAAAATTCGTAATCCATATTAGAAACTTTTTTCAGTGGCTTCTCAAAAAGAAAGAAATTCTTAGTAAAAGTTGCCGCATCCCCAAACTAGAAGAGCATATTTATTTTTTTTAATATACAATGTAACTTTTTTTAGTTCGAATTAAGTCATTCACAATACAAATAAAAATATCACAAAGGAGTATTAGAGATATTTAAAAAAATACACTATTTATACTATTTCAAAAACGCTTTTGAAATGAAAATGATCTAAAGTTGAGAGCATTATGAGAACAATATGGTAAAAAATTATTATGTTACTCAAACATTTCTGAAAATATACTGAAACGTAAAACAAAAATATCGAGGGCATAAATGGAACATAAAAAGAATGTTACTGAAACCAATTTTTTGAAACGTTTCATTGGAAACGTATTTTGGGGAGGACATCTTGGGCTTCTAGAACGTTACCAAAACGTTGCATGGATTTTGTATGAAACGTTTCAAGAAAAATGGAAACGTTTCTGAAACATGTCAGAAACTGAAAAATGTTTAGTGGGTAAGAAAATGAATTGCATAGCAAATATGCGCTACTCCTACTCCGTCTTTCAATGCTGCGCGACGGTAACCATGACCACCGTTGTAAACACTTTACCGATGTTGAGACTGCACCTTTCAAATTTAACAATTCCTTTTTAATGAGTTTCTTAAGGCTCATCTATTTAATTATGTAGAGATAACATTGTAAACTAAATTGCAAGCTAAATTTTTTTACCATGAAAATTCTTAGGGGAGGCGGCGACCTATAGCTCCCACCGCAGCAGCCACCACTGCCAAAAACTAAGGAAAGATCTAATATTAGTTCATTTCTGAGCTATTACCATAGATAGTTTTATTTTCTTACAACTTCATCATCTCCTAACTTCTAAACCATAATGAAAATCGAGATATTAACTTTAAGATGTTTAAATATTCAACCTGTGTAGTTTTTTTCACACCAATCGACCTTTTGTCTCCTTTAAGGCGTTTGTACCTCACAAGATCTGGACATATTCTTCAAACACATGAACAACGCCAGGTACGTGAGAGATTTGGACTTTGCTAGGTTTCATTTCTATGAACGAACAGGCCTTTACGACGAAATTACCAAAGCCAAGGGTCACGTGCTACAAACTGCGTCCAACATCCGTTACAGAAGAACCATTCCACTGTTCAACACCTATAAAGTAACTACAAAGGTATATCTAATAATGTTAAGTTTTTCCTTCTATGACTTATTAAACTGCCTACTTTCAGATCGTGTACTGGGAGGAAAAAACCCTTTACATAGAACAGCAATTCATCACCTTAAGCGACGGCTTCATCAGAGCCATAGTTTTGAGCAAACAAGGCACCATTGGGCTAAATGTACCGGAAATTATGGCGAAGTTGACGGGGAAGCATATCTCGTATCGTCCTACGCCTCCTGATGAGTTGCAGGACTGGCTAAATTCTATGGAAAAATCCAGCGCTAGATTACGCAAAAAGGACTGAAGTTGCTATATTTTAACAAAGGTTTGAGGGATATGGATAAATATGGGATAACAAGATGTTATATACATACATCAGCTATATTTCTACTGTAGAAATGATTATTGCAATATCAGTAAAAGAAGATTGTCAATATTTGTATTAGAAGTTGTGGAAAAGCTTTCTATTGAATTCACTTATTTTTTTTATGGAAGAAATAATGAGTCACTGTTTTTGTTACTATTAAAACTATACATGCACATGTACTTAATGTTTCATGTGCGTGTATTGTTATTTTTCATCAATACTGAGGGCGTTTGTCGATGTCAGATATTTCACATTTTCAACCCACAATGATTGTTAAAAATTTATTATTCCATAGTTCTACAATAAAACAAACATTGTTAATGCATTGTACATTAAACGTTTTATTCAAATACTTTTCCAACCAATATTAAAAAACTCGATAAAAAATTAACTAATCTGCTAACGGTCTAGCGTCCCTCGTATCATATTTATTTATTGAATGATTTTAGCGAACTTTTCCTGTTATACAGGCGGTACACAAATAGATAAGTACCATTAGGATTCTTTTAGGGCAAAAATTCATGTGGTTTTTCATTAACACAGCGCTCAATTTCCCCTTGAAGGCGTGGGTGGCCATGGGCTTATTCATAAACATTAAACTTCAAAATACCCCAAAGAAATAGTCTCATAGCGTTAAATCGCATAATCCGGGTAGGCAATAATTCTGATGATCGAAACGAAAAATGACACGACCAGGAAATGACTTAGTAATTGAATTGTTTCTCGGGCAATACGGCATGTAGCACCGTCTTGTTGAAACCATGTGTGTCGTCTATACATCCGTATCTTGCAATTTAGGCACAAAAAACTAAATTATCATGTGGCGATAGCGCACCAATAACAGTTACTGCCTGACCAGCATCATTTTCCAAGCAAGAATAGTCTAAATTCGCACCAAAGAGTAACACGTTTTGGATGCATTTGTTTCTCAGCAATCACTCGTGGATGCACAATTCGATTAACGAACTCATGAAGATGAAAATGAGCCTCATCACTGAAAACCAACATCCACTTGTTCCATAATCTGTAGAGTGTAGAGCATATCCGAAATGTCCAATTCCTGACAACGGTGCCGAACTGAGAACTGATATTCCTGGACTCTCACGAACTGCTTCGATGTTTTGTGTTAAACGACTTGTTCAAGGACGGCCAGAGTGTTAAAGATCACTAATTGATCCAGTTTCCCTGAAATTTTCAATTAATCCCTTCACAGTTGATAAAGTTAAATCACTATTCCGACCATATTGTGTACGAAAATTGCGAACTGTAGCTACTAAACCTTCATTATTCTTAAAATATTTCTCAACAATGAAAACGCGTCGTTTTTTTCGTCTAGTGCTCCAATTTTAATAACCCTGAACTGTCAGCTGTATTTTTTTTCGTTGGCAACACTTTATCGCACAAATGGCGCAAAATTCAAATCTTGCATGAATTTGGGGACACCCGATATAACTCGATTTTCATCAATCTAGAAATTGACCTTGTTTTAAAGACTGTTGGAATATTAAAGATAACAATCTAGCAAAGATAAAACTAAATGTCTTTAGGAGTACAAGGATACTATTTTCCACCAAAGAAATCTAACAGATGTCACAAAATTTTTTAATGGATGCGTCGTATTTCCAAATAATCAATTTACTTTTTACACCTTTTAAAAATCTGTACATAAGGTGAAATGAATTGCATTACTTTTAAAAAGATAATTTGCAGAGCGTCTTTTTTAAAATCCAAGAATTTAATTCACCTTCGGTTAAACTGGAATGTGTAAACCAATTTTGTTACTGTCGTCATTTTGCAAATTTAAACTTTTACTGTCTTCCGCCTATGGCTAGTGCTGATTAAAAAACTGTCTACTCGCTTCTAAGGAAACACCAGTGAAAATGTTAAGTGACACACCTTGTAGAATCAATTTTGTCACGAAATATCTCTTAGTATGTTGTCTGATATGATGAACTGATATTTAATTCGAATACCTACCTGCTTAGGTAACATAAACCAAATTTTAAGGGTTTTCGTAATATTGCCTTGACTGAAAACTTTGGTTCTTCATATTGCAAGGACAAAAAGAACAACAACAGTCTAGAAAAACTTAGTCTAATTCACAGAAAAAACATTTTTACAAAAGTATAAAAATAGTATTTTTACACAGAAGTATCTATTCTTACAGTAGGCACGACATATGTACAAATTTTTCCTTAAAACTAACCAACATTTAAAATAAATCGATACAAATTTACAATCCGCGATTAAATTGCAACTGTACAAGTTTATAGAATAATCCTTAATACTTACAAGCGATTACTTAAAAACAATAAATAAAAATATTTTTTGAGATACATCATTTGTTTTTTAATTTGGAAGTAATATATCTAGCCTAGGAGTGGCCAAACTGCGGCAGGCGTGCTCCATGTGGCCCATAAATATACTGGCTCACCCAAATATGGGAAATTACTTCTCAATAACTGAAAATATCGAAATAGCTAGCATGTTGATTTTTTTTTTGAAAGACCATGAATTATGATTGTAGTTTGTTTCTTGGTGTTTAAGTTTCTGCTGGAGAACATGGAGAAAATTGATTTCCTCAAGAATCGATAATATCAAAAAATTGAACACACAAAGAAAATGTCTTTCAAATAACGTGCCACTTGACTACATTTTTTTTTAAAATTAATTTTGCAGGATCATTGATGTACATTAGGGTGGCCCAAAAAAAACGAAAATTTTTGTTTGTGCCTCTTGTGAAAATATGTTAGTTTATCATGTTTTAAGAATCCCCTCAAAAAATCAGCTCAAAAAAAATTTTATTAGAGGTCGCTCAAGATTTTTAAAAAATTCCAAAATCGTCAAAAATTTAATTTTTTTAAAATTTTTTTTTCTCGTTATTTTATCATTTTGTAGGTTGAAAAAAATCGCGATTCTGAAAATTTCAAATCTATATTTTAATTTCTAAAGGTCACTCATAATTATTTTAACTTTCAAAGTAGTGTACCTGTTTTCGAGCGACATCTAAAAAATAAATTATCAACGAATTAATAATTTTTTTTATTGGATTTGATGAACAAAAGAATAGAAATAAATCAAGACATTTAAATTTTAAAGAATTATGAAATTATTAATATTTCATAGTGCGGTAGTAAATTTTGCCTTGAGAAATTTTTTAATTGTCTCGTGATTTATTTCTATTCTTTTGTTCATCAAATTCAATAAAAAAAATTATTAGTTCATTGATATTTATTTTTAAAGGTCGCTCAAAAACATTTTAGGTACACTACTTTTAAAGTTAAAATAATTATGAGTGACCTTAAGAAATTAAAATATCGATTTGAAATTTCCAGAATCGAGATTTTTTTCAACCTAGAAAATGATAAAATAACGAGACAAAAAATTGAAATAAAAATTCAAATTTTGACGAATTTGGAAATATTTAAAAATCTTGAGCGACCTCTAAAAAAATTTTTTTTGAGCAGATTTTTTGAGGGGGCTCTTAAAACATGACAAACTAACATATTTTCACAACACACGAAAAAAAATATTTGTTTTTTTGGGCCACCCTAATGTATGTAAAATTATAAATTGTCTATTCTTTTTTTTTAACTGAGAAAAATAAATGAACGCAAGAAAAAAATAGTCGATCATAAAAAAATATTGAAGACAATAATATTATGGAAATACTGAGGACACTTTGAGAGATGTAAAAGAATGTGGTGATATATAAGTCATAGACATAGGATTTGCAATTTTTAGGAAATTATAATTATAAAACATGCACCTTTTAAATCTATTAAAAAAAATAATTAAACTTTTTTTTTACTTATGCCGATGGCATAATGGAACAACCACATGTTACAAATAGGAAAATTTTAGGTTTGGTCCACCAGAAAATTTTATTTAGGCCTCTGCTCGCAATGTTTGGACACCCCTGGGTTTACTGATTTTTTTTAAAACAAACAGGTAGATACATATTTTCCTAAATTTAAATTTATAAGTTATCAAGAGGGGTGGATATAATTGCATCACTGTAAAATTGCAGTCATGTTCAGAAAATCTGAAAATAGTGAGATATTAGATTATATAAAACAAAAAAATGTCCCAATAAGAAAACATGAGCTTTCCAGTACCGCCAACAAACTTAAAATGTTTCTGGTTGTCCAATTCTTAACACTCACCAATTCGGAATTTACAGATAATTCTAAATCAATATAATTATTGTGGAACTTTTAAATTTGTTCTAAAGAAACGTTAGAAATTTTTGAACCAACTATTGATGAAGTTCAAAGTTTCCAGTGCCGTGCAGAAGTGTATTTTTAAATCATTTTCGAACAGCCCTTTTCGATTTTTTTTACATTTGTAAACTACGTTTAAAAAAAAATTACATATAAAAATCAATGTTAGTTTGTTTCTTATAGATTCGAATACCACTCGATCAAATGGGCTCAGTTGATTTTATTTGGAAAATACTTTTTCAAATATCATTAAAAAAAATAGCCTGTAACTTTTTTTTTGCAATTTGCATATCGTCATTTCTTTTTTACTCAAGATTAAATCTTTTCAGATTTACTGTTGATGTTGACATTTAATCAGGTGAACAAGGAATGAAGAGAAATCTTGGGAGACCAAAAATTGGAAAAATATCTTCTAACAGAACCATACTCTTCGCGACATTATACAGAGTGTCCCAGAAATAAATGACAATATTTTAATACTGCATTTTACTTATCTAGAGCTATAAGATTTTTCTAATAATTTCTTATAGAAAATCTTGGATTTTAAGATAACTAGGAAAATTGAAATTTCCACATAAGTGGAAATGCTTGGTTAAATTAATAATAAAAAAAGGAATCACAAATAATTCATACAACATTAGCTTTAAGTCATAGAAAACTTTTAGCTTTATTTTAATTTAATGGGTAGAAAATAATAGTTAAAAGAGAACTTTAATGATGAACAAAGCTTCAAAAATGACACAAATGAGTGTTTTATAAAGAAAAGAAAGTTTCTATTGAAAAGGAAAATGAAATGGATAACATTCCTGTAAGAACACAGTTTCAATTTCAATAGTTCCGAGTAAAAAAATAATAATAAATAAATAATAACAATGAAAATCCCCAATTTAGTCAATTTTAAGGTTTAAGGGGAAATATACAAATAAAAGAAAATGTTTTCTTCAAATTTTTTTTACCGCTCATCTTACGAATATTGTGTGCAAATTTCATTTAGAAATTTCAGTAATTGCGAGTTATGGGCAATTTACCGGAATGCATTAGATTTTAATGTGGGAACAAACGCTGATCAACATTGGGACATCGAAGATGCAGAACGCATGCATACCGCCAAAGTAGAAACTCACAACATGACCTGTGAAGGGAGGATTGAACGAAGACAGGCACGGATCACTGCCAGTGCTGCGGAGGGTCTACTATATGGTCTGGGAGTTGCAGATTAACAGCCAAGTAAAAACAAAAACTTTACTCAATGTACTTAATATACCGGGTGTCCCATTTTAATTGATACTCGTAAATATCTCATCAGAGAAGCCACCAATCGAAAAATGGCCTAAAGTAAAAATTGTTCAGTTCACTGGGGGAAACCAGCTGCTTACCTAGGATTTGACCTTGACCTCGCCTTGAAGGTCAACTTTGGAATTTTAAATGGGATCCTCTATTTTTAACCTTGGAAATTGACTCAGCAGAAAATTTTACATCCTGATGTGATCATAACTTTGACCTTGAGGTCAAGGTCAGGTTACAACGAGTTTAAATGATTCGTCACCCTTGCAGCAGCCTCGGAATAAGATGTTGACCTCCAGAATCGATGGGATTTACATCAAGGTACTCAATCGCGACCCTGGATTCATCCTTGACCTTCACTTTGTCAAGGTCATTTGAAGGTCGACTGTAACAATTGTAGGAAAAAATAATGCTACGAACGAGTGAGGGAAGACTGATAAAAATATCTTGTTACTCAACGAAGGTATAACTTAGTTTGAGAATTGAAAAAAGAGATATCTGAGTACGTTACAAAGTAAAACTGACTGACGGTGAAAAATTTAAAAAAATAAAAATATCACACTACTATTTGTGAGCCATTGAATTATGTTGAAATTACGTTAGTATTCTGGATTTAAATCTTCACCAGATCTTCAAATGAACTTTTTATTTGATCCCTTACTTTGCAGCATACTTGGATACAAATTTGCCGTTTTCCCAAGATCTGATCTAAGAAATACACGGCCTGGCAGAAAAGAAAACAAAGTGAACCTTCAAATTCAATCCAGAACATCTTTCGCAACATTTGTAGAGGTGAAGGTCCATTTTTATAGTCGATCTTCAAATGACCTTGACAAAGTGGAGGTCAAGGACGAATCGAAGGTCGTGATTGAGTACCTTGATGTAAATCCCATTGACTCTGGAGGTCAACAACTTATTCCGAGATTGCTTCAAGGATGACCAATCATTTAAACCCGTTGTAACCTCGACCTTGACCTTTCAAAGTTGTGATCACATCCGGATGTAAAATTTTCTGTTGAATCCATTTTCAAGGTTAAAAATAGGGGATCCCATTTAAAATTTCGAAGTTGACCTTCTGTTGATCTGCAAGGTGAGGTCAAGGTCAAATCCTAGGTAAGCATCTGGTTTCCTGCAGTGAACTGAACAAATTTTCCTTTAGGTCATTTTTTGATTGGCGGCTTCTCTGACGAGATATTTATATGTATCAAATTAAAATGGAACACCCAGTATATTAAGTAAATTATTGTTTTTTACAAGTCAATTTTCCAAAAAAAATATTCTACAAATTTGGAATATGAAGAATATCGTGTATAAACGTTTTCTTGATATTCCAAGAACTGTAAAAACGTAAAACGTTGTCATGTGATCAAGTTCCCAAGCGCATCAATTCTCTGCCAAACATCAAACGTGATTATCTCGAAACATACTGCTCAAGAACAGTTCCAAAAATATTTGGAAACTGGCTCGAAGGATTGCTTTCAAAATTTTACACAATATTTTCTACTTCGGATCATAGGTTTCTTTTTTCATTTAATTTATTTTTTTTATAAAGCCAGATTGGAAATTAAGGTTGAAAAACGAATGCAAATTTCAGTCGACCTCCATTGCTTTTTTTTAATCCTACATTGCGAAGGGCAATCTTTTTGAAATTTTTGTTTCAATTCAACCAACTAACTGCATGTAATCTTGGGAACCACACACTGTGCGAGCAAGCGACATTTTTTATGCTGGCCATTACAGCACCGTTTCCAGTCGAGACATATTTATAAAGAAACTTGTCAACATACTTTCAAATAAAACAAACCTGGATAAAATCGAACCGAGTGTTAAGATTCACCTATTCTTTCCGCTGTATACCCGGATGTTCCCTCTTAATTCATATTTAACATACCTCAACTTATCGTATTCTCTCAATTTTAATCATGACTTTCAATAATGCTTTCTCAAAACCGGCTTGTAGAAAAGTATCTAGGAATTAGTACAGCATCTTTACATACCATCATGTTCTATATAAATACTTACATATTCAATAATTTTCATTCCTTACAACTATATAAACAAATCCAATATACCTTTTAACGTTAAATTTCCTAACTTCGCTTTAACAGCCATAACCTGTACAAATGGTTGGAGAATTCTGCATCTGATTGTGGACACTCCTGATTATTGTTGTCCAAATCCGGACTGGGAGGCCTCTGGATAACATTATAATCCACCGTTTCCGTCAACTGTTCGCATTTACGTTTTTGCCTGCAGTCGCTGGACGATTCTCCGTTGGCCAGAATCTGACGGGCTTTGTAAATCGGCTCGTATTCTACCAACTGAGCACGGAAACCCTCGTTAGGGTTCACTGAAGCACGTTTCTCTTTGACGTATTCTAGCGCTTCACTAAAATAAATTAAAAATAATCACAATCAATATAGCAAACTTCAAGCAAAAAATTCCTTGGAAAAATTTTCCAAATTGTGAAAATGTAAGCTCTATATCAGTTTCTATTTCCCAAAGATTACCATTTCCTAAATTCTTTGTCAGAATCTCTCGTATGAATATTTAGTGGTCATCACAAAATTTGCATCAAATGGCAACATTTTCATAGACTTTAGAAAAAAAACTTGTTGCAATACCACATGGAACAAACTAGTGTTGTAAAGGAGAGAATGTTTTTGATGTGTGCTAGAGAATATCGGCGAATGCAAGGTCACGAAAAAATTATACTGTGCAAACATTATTTTTGGGAACACAAAATGAAAATTTTCTTCTGAATTTACTCAAATTTCCTACTACCCGAGCAAGATGCTGCACTTTATGAACTACTATTTTTTAATAGATATTGCTTTTGTCAATTTGGAAAAATATGATACAGCAGGGCCTTGATAATCCGTACCCCAGCTAGTCCGAACGCTTCTATAATCCGAACGACCCCCCTTACCCCTGTGCAACCGCCGTTTCTCACAGTTTCTGTCTTGCCAGTGCCATGCAGTGCGTTTTTTGTTTGGAATGGGCAGATGAAGTCGACATTTCTATTCCGGAAAAAATGCTGTTACGTAAATTAAGGGATAAAGCATTTTCTATGTCGCTAAATACTACTCGTCAAAGCACTGGAATTCTTTAAAAAAGTGTGATTAATAGCATTGTATCTAACATACATCTAACGTACATACTTAAATAAATACATTATATTGTAAAATATTTTTGTTTTATTTCGAAAAATCCCTTTCAAAATGTCTACATACTATAATCCGAACGCTTCGTGAATCCGAACAGGGTATACATTTTCGGTGTTCGGATTATCGAGGCCCTGTTGTACATTTAAGAGCATGTTTAAGAAAATTAGGAGAATTTTTTTAACATAGATTATCTGAATACAAAAATTAAAGTTTACAATCATAAAAAATACATTTATTGTAAACGTTTAGACGATCACTAACTTATAATGGGTTGGGGAATAAGAAATGTCAATTTTTTCAAATTTCAAAATTCACATGAAAATTCAAAAGAGAACCTATTGTGTATTTAGTCGCTTCATAAAGATTTAATTTTTGTGAAATTTCACAAATTCAAAATGGAATCTCCAGTTGGGAAAATTGATTATTTTCAGCACTTGCTTCTTTTTGTTTTTAATCGAGATGGGGAAAACGCTACATCTGCATGGAAAATTTGTGCCGTATATGGTGACGATACGATGAATGAATGGTTTTCGAGTTTTATAAATGATTTCAACCATAAAGACATGAATCATTCCGGACACACTTGAATTTGATGAAGAGCATTTGAATCAACTCTTTTACGAAAATCCAAGACAATCAACAAGTGGATAGAATCACAAGATGGATTGTGATCACAAAACAGTAGTAAATCACCTGCATTTGATGGGAAAAGTTTAAAAACTTGGCACTTGGTAAATACTTCACGTTTTTAACAAAAACAAAAAGAATAAACACACCGGTTTGCTCTATTGTCATAACATGTGCTCATAACGAACGTTTTCTTGTATTATAACTGGTGATGAAAAATGGTGTCTGTATGTGAACTTGAAACGGCAGAAAGAATAGTTAAAATCCAAAAAACAACCAATTCCGCGAACAAGACCAGAACTTCATCCTTGAAAGATGTTATGTGTCTGGTAAAATTGGAAAGGGTTGTCTATTATGAACTCTTACCAAACAATCAAATCGTCAATGCAGAACTTAATGTCCAACAACTATAACGACTTGACGAGCGATAAGACTTTTTTTTGCAATATGACAATGCATAATAACATATCTCCAATATGATCAAAATGGTCATTCGGAAGTTGAATTAAGAAGATCTGCCCCACTGAAGAGGTGTCGAGAAATTTGTTGAATGTTGGGAGGTCGGAGACTACATCACCAATTAGCCTATTGATAATTGTAGAATTAAAAATATCTTAAATTTGAAGAAAAAATGGAAAATTGGACATTAACCCTATATGTATACTCAATACATTAAAAAAAAGCATACGACAGTACCCATATAGCAGTTAAACCCATATAGCAGTTAATTAAGAATTGTGATTGGCAAATATTATTCTGACTAATTTAAAAGCCAACATCTTTACTTAAGGAGGTTCGATACATCTCTTGCGGGGCAGGCGGTACGGGAGGGAAGCCTATGCTTATACACGGTAGTTTCGTTGTAGTACCAACCTTACATAAACTAATTTGAGCGAACTAAATATAATATATACGAATGAAATTTATACAACACATATTAGCTTGCATATATTTTTTGTGTTTAATGCACGGCAATTAACTTTTTATTTGAATAAAAGTGTATATTTATTCATTAAGAGCTTGTAAAATTATGGATAAAATCTGGCATCATTGCCACTGCCATGGCGTGGTGGTAAAAGTTGGGTCAACCGTCATTACTGTCAACTGTGCTTTGCGCGTATTCCGTAAACATGAATAAACATCCAATATACAAAGGAAAAGTAATACTGAAAAGCAATATAAAATGCGTATGAGACAGAATGTGGATTGATGAGAAAAAAGTGAAAAAAAGCTCAGTGTATGATGGTGCTAGTGATATGTCGCCTTGTCAAATTGAAGATTATGACAGAACATCTATACTGTTCGTTTTGCAACGAAATCCTTTCAATTTTTGTTTCAAATTGCTATTATATTGCATTAGATCATGAAAAATTTATTTAATATTAATTACTACTACATATGTTTTCGACTAGAATAATTATATAGTCTATAATCGAGCTATTCAAATATAGCGCGTCAGTCGAAGCGTTAAATACAGCGTACAGTGTTGCCATATTTCCTTTTATTGGATCAGATGTTTGTTCAAATTTGTCAAAGTGTTATATATTTATTCCATTATCTCAATAATTACATTGTAAGTGCATATTTTTATTGTTTTAAAATGTTTAGTAATATTTAATTCTTTAATTAGAATTTTATTTTTCCCCATCCTAACCATTTTTAAGAGCAATATTCACGTTTGATTAAAGTTTTTTCCCAACTCCCATAAGAGCATGTGTATAAGAGCATAATTTTTAATATAATTTTTCAAAAAAACTGTATTGGCAATCGTTCTGATATTTTTACTCAAGCCAGTTGGCATATTTATTAACAGGTTTCAATGATTTTGAAAACTTTACCATTTTTTTTTCGGTATCGAACCTCCTTAAATCGGTCTGTATGAATTTAAACTATTTTAATGTGGCAGCACCTTGCAACAGTGATTACGATTGGAATTTATAAAATTTCATGAAAATTAAGGAAATTACCTGATATTTAACCAACATTTCCAGATCTATGAAATTCCCTAAAATATGCAGGTTTTCCCAATTGGTAGGTATACACCCTGAATTAATTGCCATTTCCACGAAAAGAATAAGGATATCAGAAACATTTAGATATATGGTGGTTTCAACTGGAAAAAAACTGCGCCATTTTGTGAACAATTGAAATGATAAACAGATTTCAGATACAACTTTTAGTTTTTGAGATATTATGATTGTTTTTTTATATCAGAGTTCACTGATGTGTCATTTGCTGCGGTTTAATTATGTCAGATACACCTCAGACACCGTCAGCAGTTTTTTTTTAAATTATTTTTAAGTAAGGATTAACTGAACTGTAAAAATGGTTAAAATACCTTACTTTGATGTTTTAAAGTTTAATTTTCATTTTTTAAAATTAAGGACCTTAGAATTGTACATGTTTCTAAAATACCTATATATTCCAAGTGAATGAGAGGGTCTTATCCAAAAATGAAGTTGATGGTAAATCGAAAAAGAAATGTTGAATGACAAAACTGACATTTCTAAGAAAGTACACAAAATTTCTTGATCAAAACCTTTTTTAAATAACTGAACAGTAATTCCAGACAATGACTTTATTTGGTTACGTTGAAAACTATGGGAGTTAGCCTAACTTTTGAAATAATTTCCTTCTTTTCTTCAAAACTAAATATTAAGAAGCTTATTTTATACTTTGGAAACGATACACTCAGGTATGTATTTAAAGCATTTATATTTAAATTTGAGCTGTTACAGATTTCCATTTACCTTCATATTTTGTCCACAATCTGTCTGGCTGCAGTGTATGGTGCAAAATTTTATACTCGATTTTTTTTCACTAATCTATAAAAACTACTTTTTTACAATAAAAAAATATCTAAAGTGTCTTACATGGTAATCATGTCACTGCACTACTTCCATGTATTTTCATTGATTTTGAACTCCCTGAATATCGAAAATTAAATGTTTGTAAAAATTTTTTTTTCTAAATTTGTAATGTAAAATCTGTTATTAAAGTTTGGTCAAACATTTTATATACACCCTCTATGTATGTGTAATATTAGCTTGATGGTGCCCCTTAAAAAAATAAAAAATTCTGTAAAATCTAGAGGAAAAGTTACCATGAAGAAGCATTCTTTTTACTTTGGCCTCTGATGACAACACAAAATAGAAAATAATCCCCTAATGGTGAAATTTTTCTAATTTTAACTTATATGTAAAAACGATTTCTGAATCCCCATGATATATCTCAATCTGACAATTTCACTTAATATAGCAACCTGTCGCCTTACCTGCTACTTAAACCAAACTTTTCCATAATATATGCCAAAACCAAAGTGGCACTTCTAGAATTGCCATTGTTCCCATGGACAAGCACTTTGCAATTGTTGGAAAGAGCTTCGTCTATAAATTGTCGCACTTTCGGAAAAAATCTTATAATATTTTCGGTAGCATTATCTGCTATGTTCAGTGTAAGATAAGTAAAATTTGGGTCACTAATTTGAGGCTTGATAAAATGTGCCTCTACATCTTGTCGTACACAAACTATATATCTGATCCCATTCTCCAAGAGGCAGTGTTTCTGAGCAGCCATAAATGATCCTAGATATACGCCAGGGATGATTTCTTGCATAATTCTGTGAGAAATAAATTCACAGGCAATATCCGGTGCATAGACTGACACTTGTTGGTAAACAGTGTTCATGTCAGTGACTCCGTTAGCCTTAAAAAAAAGGATTATGTGTATAACTACCTACTGCAGTATAGTATGCCATTATATTTGTTAAACAAGAAATAATATTTCTATTTACAAATAAATCTAAAGGACTTTATCTGCAACACAAACATAAGAAATTTATTAAATATTAGTTATATGCCGACAAATATTACTTCTACTGAGGCTTATTAGCTAGATTTATTTTGTACTAGGAACTAAGAATGGATGTAACAACAATCATACATGTGTATGTACCTACCTACAAAGAATTACCTGACTACTTCAGCTAAGTATGTTTTTTTTTATTTAATAATGTAATGGTAAAAAATAATCAGAAATCCACTATCTTATTATATTACAATTATTAATTTACAAGAAAATTATTAAATTTAGTGAAAGAACCACTATTTAAAAGAATTCTCCTAAGGATAATACAAATTTCATAGAAAATAAGGTTAGGTTTTTGCAACTAACCCGCCAGTGTTATATATACTTGACAATTAGGGCAACTTTGCGAATTTTAATAAATATATCCGAATTTATAATTCTCAGACACTTTTTGCAGATTGTATTAATTAAGAGTTCTATAGCTAAAAACAGAAAAATAAAAATTTACTAACCTCATCTTGTGGGTAATTCGGAGCACTGACATCAATCATTTTCAAGTGACCAAATCAAACTATAGGCTATCACTAACTTGTTTCATATAGAATAATCCACAAAATTACCAGAAAAACTGGTAGATTGCAAGTAAAATATCAAATTTTTACTCTTCAAAACGAGTCCCGAGTCTAATGCCAAAACCACTTGCATAAAAATGTCAAATGAAGAAGAGAAAGCTTTTGAAGGACACGGCACAAGTGATAACGTAAAGGTGTCTACGCATGAAACAAACGCAAACAGCGTTAAAAGCAACCTCGAATGAGCTTGTTTGCTTTGGTGCACAGTATGCAAAATTAAATTTACGTAAATAGTTAAATAGTCTAGATTTATATTTATACTAATTTTTTAAAGTATTTATAATAATTGTAAAACTAAAGGCACTAAAGTTTATTTTATATTAGTATAATACATGCGAAAATATAGTGTTTCGTTAAATGATATTGTATAATTTTATTGCAAGCAGGTTTTAAGTATACAGGCTGATTCACAACTTATACAAAAAATTTTTGGAATAGATGCGTCATGGAAAATGGAGTCAATATAGTAAAAAAAATTTTTTGTAAAATCCTTAATTTCCGAGAAAAAGGATTATTGAAGTTGTAGTATTTAAAACCAGTACATAACTGGACTACTGTAGTCCCTAGCGTCATTCGCGTTGTGTGCTGTCTTTCCACGTGGCCCCAGGCGATTCCAAATACTGAAATCCGATTTTATTATTTTTTTGCGATAGTGTTTACATTACTATTTCAAGTGTCAAAAACGGCTTATGTGTAGCAACTCGGAGTTGATGGATATCGCTTTAATCTATGGTGAAGCAAGGCAACATTATTTGTGTTATGGTGAAGTTTAGTATTTGTTATGCTGAAGTATGTATGTTATGGTGAAGCAAGACAACATTTGTGTTTACAAGTCAGTGGACAAAATTTTGAATAGTTGTTGTAACGTCAGGTACCTATATCAAATTATTTTAGTAAATAAAACCACAAATAATTTTATTAATTAATAATAATAGCGATAAAAGTAGTTGAATTTGCCGATATAAAATAGGTGTTCTAAAATTTTATTTCTTTCTTTAGGAAAGAAATTCTTTCAATTTTTTGTCCGTTCATGTTTTACATGCTTTGCTTTGCGCAGTATCAGTTTTTACAGTTGCCAGTTTCCAGTGCCGTGCAGAAGTGTATTTTTAAATCATTTTCGAACTGCCTTTTTGACTTTTTTTTTATACAAAATTGTATTTGTACGTCCCCTGTCCATACAATTTTTTTTTTTTTTTGATAAGTTCTTAATATATATGTAAGAATGTCAAGATTAGTTGCAGATTATTTCAGTCACCACATTGTATCCATGATCAAATGAAACTATTAACACTGACAGAAAAATTAAAACATTTTTATTGGGAAAAATATTTATAGTTCACATGATAAAACTTAACTCTAACTAATAATTAAAATTCCACTTTTCTACTAAGAAATCGTTGAGTAAAAAATTCATGCTGTTTTTTCATAACAGGTTTACTAGAAGTCATCTTGAAGAATGAAGATATTGAAGTGCTAGCAGGTGAAGACTTTTCCTCAACGTCTTCCCATTCTACATGATAAGCTGTCTCTTCAAGCGCATTAACTGCCGTAGACCAGCTAAACCTCACTAGTTGTGGGAAGCCAAAAACTGGATCGCAGTAATCCACCAAAAATTTTTTAGTCACTTGGTCTACAAAGAGGTATTTCAAAATATCAAAGTTGAGTAATTGAATTGAACATGATATAATCAAACGTTATTTCATAAAAAAAAAATTGTCAATATTTCGAGCTTTTAGAGAAAAAATTTTGCAAATATCCATTTATTATACAGTGCTAATCAAAAATTTTCATATAAATGTAGGTCGTAAAGAGCTTCGTTTTAGAAATATGGGGCACTGAAAATTACAAAAAAAAAATACAATTTCTAAAATATGTCTGAAAACTTTTGATAGATTTTGATTTTATTTAGAGAACAAGCTGATTTCTATATAGGTACTTTAAAATAAGCTCATCATTACAGTTGAACAAATTGAATATAACTTTAAAACTATACTCCGCGGTCGAAATTATAGAGTGATTTATCGCTAGCTTTTGGACTAGTAAGGGGGATGAAGCGTGCCGGGAACGAAAATTCATTGGCGTGTCTGCGTAAAAGGCAACAAGATATAGAAAATAATGAAAAAAGATAATAAAACATAACATCTAATATTTTTTTACGGTTTGCGGTAACAGGCACTTTGATCCATTTTAATTATTGCAGCATTTTAAAACGTCCCAATTGTGTTTTTTTAATTTATAAATTAATTATAGCCATGGAATTAGACCCCTCGTCTGCGCTTATGCTATGACGTTTCTCAGGATGGGTTAAATCAAGTCCGTTTACACCCGCACTAAAAAAGCATTTCTCTATTCCCTACCAAGTACAAAAGACAGAGATAGAATATAAATCGACGTTCAGTGTAACTCGGTCTCTAGACGATTATAGATTCTATCGATGTGCGTATCGAGCGGCACAAAGATAAATAATATTGAACCGTATAAAAATCATTTTATATTTTATACGCATTATAGTAATAGTGTTTGGTTGGACTATAGCTCTTGGGTACCTGGCATATCTCCGTCAAAAATGAATATAAAAATCTGAAATTTTAGGGGTGTACTCTAGATGGGGAGACCTAAGAGCGCACGTAATTTCAACTCACCCCTTCCACCCTAGGGGGTGCGGAGGGGGTAAGGGGTGGTTTTTTTAGACGTACACTATTTATTTTGCGATTTTCGGATTCTACACGTAAAACTACCCTCGGACACGCGTTCTTGCGGGTTCGTCTAAAAACCACCCCTCACCCCCTCCGCACCTGCTAGGGTGGAAGAGGCGAGTTGAAATTATGTTCGCTCTTAGGTCTCCCCGAGACCTCAAATTTCAAATTTGTATATTCATTTTTGACGGAGATTTGCCCAGGTACCCAATAACTATAGTCATCAAAAAAACGACAAAGTCCATACGAGGTGGATTTTGGTTTTTTTTGCTAATTCGCCAATAATGCATTTCCGGGGGTAGTTTTACACGTAGAATCCGAAAATCGCAAAATAAGGGTAAGTCCCAAAAAAACCACCCCTCACCCCCTAGGGTGGAAGGGGTGAGTTGAAATTACGTGCGCTCTTAGGTTTCCCCATCTAGAGTACACCCCTAAAATTTAAGATTTTTAAGTACTACTTTAAGTTTCTTTATTATCATAAGTTTTTGATAATTTTTATTTCAATTTTTATCTTTAATTTTTTTTAAGTACGTATTGTGATATACAAAGACTAAATTTTCTTGTTCTAGAAATTTCCCATTTTTTATTTGTGGGTTGAAACTAAATTGCTAATAAACAGCGTACTTGCTTATAAACAGTCAGTAGTACGTAGTACGTATATAATTATTATATAATTATTATAATAGTGTTTTTATATTATGTCTTAGTCACTCTATAATTACGACCGTGGAGTATAGTGATAAATTGTTACAAACATAAATTTACATAAACATTACCTCCTGGATATCCACTGCCAAATTCTTTACAAGTAACATCTAATCCTTCTTGAAAATTCCACACTTGTAAAGCATGATCCCTGGTAACTTTAGCACAAATACTAGCCGCAGATACTATTGGATAAGTCGAATCAGCCTTTTTTGCTACTGTTATGTTATACTTGGGAAAAATGCCTTTTAAATATTCTTGATATTTCTCTGGTTTACCTACAGTGTCTACAAATATGTGTTCAATTTTAACACCACAGTTTATTGCTGCTTTTATTAGACCAACTGCAGAATCCATTGACACTTGATTTAAAGAATATTTTGATCTACTTAACATACTATTACATATATAATTTGGAGCTATAACTTCTACTGCCCAACCTATTTTCTTAGAAGATTGGCATATATTCGAGAAAATAACATCTCTCTTTTTTTCAGTTAATACTTTTGAATCAGCACATTCTAAAGTTTCTAAAATCATTTGTTCATTTATCGGACAAAATGCTGTACCATATACCATTGGACCTAGAATTGACAAGAATTTATGTACAATATTATTAGTTCTTTAGTAAGATAATACCTAAAACAGGACCCCTGCCAGCTTCGTCTATTCCTAATATACATGGAAATTCTTTACATACATCAGGAATATTTGATATATAAAACACATTTTGTGAGTTGTCTTCTTGCTTTAAAAAACTATTTAAAGATTCCAATGAATTAATTTCTACAGTTTTTGATGATCCGCTAGCGTTATTAGTTTCCATTTTCCTTATTTCTTACACAAAATATAAACAACAGAAATCCATTAGATTTGAGGTTTTTTTGGTTAGGTTAAATTTCTAGATTACTCGTATATTAGAAAAGTTAAATTGGCGCCAAGAAACCAAAGTACCTAGGCGCATTTTTATGTAGCCGCAGAGATGCTGAAAAAAGTTACCCCTATAGACTTCTAAGTATATAGTCTGTGGTCACCCTCATTAGTCATTATATTAGGCTTTTTTCGCGATGGATATTGGTGAATATCTGACTTGTAGTTACTACAGTGGTTCTATACTTGTATAAAGTCACTATAGTAGATACTATTTCTATCTCTTTTGACCTCAGTTGTCATATGGTAGTTTAAATTTCTTCATTCACTCATAGTACTACACATACTACAACATACGACTTCACTCGCGAAAAAAAGTCTGTTCTTTCGTATCTGTGCTCGAGACGTTGAGAGGTTGAGACCACAGACCACCTAGACTGGCTTATAGAGCGACTTTGGTGAAAACACTTTGGAGCCTGATTTGGAGCCCAGCGCTCAGTCGTGTCCTAGCATTTGACGTGTACGCATCGCTGTGATTTCGATAATTAGACGTTTTATCATGGGCAAGTGTATTGTAAAACATTGTATAAATAAAAGTGATCGAAATTAATTAAATATTTTTTTCAATTAAAAAATTCAGTATTCTTACAGTAAATTAATTTTTATTAAAGATCATGGTTGTTTGACGTATCCATCGAGATGTCGTAGTAATATGCTGAGAAACATAAAAATTAATAAAATTTTTAAATAATGATGAAAGCAGGACACTTAGGCTACAGAAAAATAAAATCGTGTATCATGTATTAAAATTCTTTCTGAATGTGAACATATTTGAAAATTTGCATGAACATCAATTTGATAATTTGCTTAACAATTGTAATCATTTAATAGAACCTGTAAGGGCTGAATGTGAAAAGTATATCGATGTACGAATTAATCATGAAGTCAAATTATTTAATTCGGTAAAATCTACGAAAAGACAAATATTAAATAAATTAATATTATTTAGAGGATAATAAATATATTTAAATTATTTTGTAGTTTTATTTAATATGACACTAAAATATACTATTTTCTGAATTACAAACGTCAAATTTAATATTTGTTATGCAATATAATATTTAATATGTAATAAAAATATTACTTAATGCGGATCTGCTTAAAGATGCGCGCGATCAGATTGCCTTCCACACTCCACTTCCCCGGATTTTGCATTCACTGGTACCCGTGCATTGGAATTAGATACGGCCAGTCTAGGTGGTTTGTGGTTGAGACGCTCTACAAATTTTGGCTTACTTGAAACAAATGATAAATTTATAAATTCATGTTTAATTTTTTTTCTTTACTAATCTATGAAATCTCCATTACAGAAAGTAACAATTAGTTAACCAGAGATCGAAAAACCGGCCCTTAGTCAAACAATTGGCTTAACGGCCTTTAGCCTTTAGTAACTCTGTTAAAACCTGCCTAATATTCCCTATCATCTAATTGGTCTGACCAACGAAATATTTGTCCGCTGAACGACTTTGACCGGTCCGACCATTCGCTGAACACAGCCTATATTTATGCGATTGTACCATGTTCTGAAGAAGAAGAAGTTCTCATTCTGTTATCTTAGTCCATGTTAGTCATCTGTCAAAATTCTGTTAAAGTTCTATTTTTAGGTTATTTTCAGTCCGGAAAAATAAACAAAATATTAAAACAAATCCCAATATGACAACATTAAGACCTTTTACTTGTGATGATATGTATAAATTCAATAACGTGTAATTATTAAAATAGGTAGATTATCTTAAATACAGATGTACTTTTTGTTTCAGAAATCTTGATCCCCTAACAGAAACTTATGGAATATCTTTTTACATGCAGTATTTAGCACATTGGCCAGAGTATTTTCAAGTAGCGGAGTCCCCAAGTGGAGAAATCATGGGATACAGTATGTAAGTGAAATGCCTATTTTTATTTGCCTAATGATTGATTTCTAGTTATGGGAAAAGCAGAAGGTATAGGTGAAAATTGGCATGGTCACGTTACAGCATTGACTGTATCACCGGATTTCCGGAGATTGGGATTGGCTGCAACACTTATGAGTTTCTTAGAGGACATTTCAGAAAAGTATTTGCCTACTTCATATACTTAAAAATTTTATAGAAGAATGTCATAGATCTTTATAAAAAGGCTATTCAAAATTATCCCTTCAGTATGTGTCGGCAATTAAGGGTTATAGGTTGTTGCAGTTTTGCTCATTAGAGATCTATGAAGTTAAGTTTGAAATTAATGAAACTTCGTAATTTGCTACGAAATAAAGAAAACAATTATATTGTTGGTCTTACTAAATTTAAAAATTTTGCAGGAAAGCAGGAATAAGATAATTTTATTTTTTTTTAGAAAGCGAGCATATTTTGTGGATCTGTTTGTTAGAGTTAGTAATAAGGTTGCTATTAATATGTATAAGAACTTAGGCTATATAGTATATCGGACCGTTCTGGAATATTACTCTGGCGATCCCGATGAAGATGCATATGGTGAGTAATTTTATGTTACAAAAATATGGTAACTAGTGTGTATAATTTACAGTACTACAAAAGACAGATTGATTTGCATAAATTTCTCTTTTCTGAAGTTAAATAATGGAGAATTAATTCTAGCAAAATATATTTAAATATATTAAAAATACACAGTCTAGTATAAAAAAAAGTAGGTGAAGATGTTAACCACACATTCTTTAGAGAAAAATAATAAAGTTTTTCTTATATGTATTATTTTCTACAAATATTTCTGAGTTGTCTTCTTCCATAGTGAAAATAAAGTAACCTCACACTGGACTTAAAATAATGCCATGAATATCGACTGGTACCTAAAAGCCGCTTTACAGTCTGCAATTCTTTCTGCAAGCTGCAAGTCTCTGCACGTAGGCATGCGCACTGAGCAGCAGCGTATTGCCAAAGTTGTCTTGATAAACGGGCTAGTGTGGTGTGCATCGGTTTGAAAGGTATTGCAAGTGAAAAGTCTTGCTGCAAGTCATTGCAGAAAGAATTGCGGACTGTAAAGCGGCTTTAGACTGTACAGCCAACGTGGACAATTACGTGATACTAATAGACAACATTCTGTTGGCGTAAGTACCCGCACAGCTAGAGCCACTTTAAAATGTAAATTAGTACAAACAGTGCTTGTCGTGCCTGACTCAAGAGGGAACCAGTCAGTGTGACTGTATACTCATTTATTGCACTAAGTTTCAAACTAGGTTGGATCCGCCAGGCTGCACTAGCTTGGCGAGACCAGCCTCAGTGAAATGTGGCCTTTACCGTTAAAGTTTAAAAGATTGTTTTACTTTCAATTTTTTTTTTTTTTTTCATCCTTATAAATTTTGATGTAGGGCTTGGCTTTTGAGATATTACAACTTCTTATAATGATATGGATTTTTTGTTAGTGCTACATTTATGCTTGGCATTCTTAAAAAAATAGTGTGTTTTGAAATGTCTATCTAAGAATTTTGGTTAAACTTTCTCTCAATTTAGGGAATCTGGTTTCACTATTATAAATTCAATTATCGATATATCTACCACTTCCTCAAATGTATGTTTGGACTTTTTCAATAAGAGAGAATCCAATACTCGGGAAAATTTGTAGTTTTAAACCTTCTGGAATTTGTTTTCATAATTGTTAAAAAAAAATCCGAATGAAATTTATTTGGTAAAAATGTGTTTACAAGCTTACTTAGTTCATAGTTTAAAAAAAAATGAGAGATGTCTCCTAAAGTAAACTAAATTCTAAATTAAAATGTTACTAGAGAAAAATAAAAGAAAAATAAACTATATATTTGGACCATAGAAATATGCAGAAGAGCAGTGTGGTCAATGGGTACTGCCATCCCCCTTCCTCTGTGCACGCTTCAATTTTTTTTATTAAAATTACATAAAAAAATGTGAACATAAGATAAAAAGTAAAAGTAAAATTACACTTGAATGTCTTAAAAAGCAACAGTTATTAATAAAAATATTTGATAATTGTAATTTTGACACCCTGTATCTAAAAAAAGAAACATATATGAAAAATGGCATAAGAAAAGTTATTATTTTTGTACAAAGAATCTGTGGTTAATGGCTTGACTTACTTTTTTTATAATAACCTGTATATTATTAAATACATATATATATATATATATATATATATAACGGGTGTCTCGCTTAAAAGTGGAACAAGTCTGTAACTCGTCTACCGTTCGGCCGATTTGAGTAAACTTTTTTTTGTTGGACACAGCTTCAAAAAATCTNATGTTCAGTTGCTTCAGTTATATATATATATATATATACTTACTCCTTTTTATAATTATTTCTTTCACAATATAATACATATTTTTTTTAGATATGAGAAAGGCATGTTCCCGAGATATTAATCAAAGATCTGTGATACCACTTACACACCCTGTTAGACCGGAAGACGTGGACTAAAAAGTTTTCAGTTATGAAGACAATTTTTATACTTTTATGTAACATTTTTGTTACAGCAAATATATATTTCAGATTTCATCAATTTATTACAATCAGAATACCTAAGTCTTGTATATGAAGATTGAAGAATATTAAAGTGAATCAATAAGTTTAATTTTATGTCTATTGCTTACTTTAAGAATAGTTTAGTAAAAATTTTGTAAATAAGTATTTTATTGTAAACTTCTAAAAATTAAGGTTGCCAACTGTTCTTTATGACTCTTGGGGACGATTTTGATAAAAAAAAGTGGCATGATAATTTTAAATAGTATTTATTCAATTTAAATAAAAGATACCTAATATTTTTCTGATGTAAAAATATAAAAAAATCTGAAGCTCTTTTTTTCTAACCAGAAATATCTTACACTGAGAAAATATGCAATAACTTTGGCCTACACCACGGTTTTTGAATATTGGTTTTAAGATATGTATGACACGATAGTTAAAAATTAAGAAGCTACGGTGTAATGTGGGTTGCTTGATTAAATACATACAAATACAATGTAAAAGCACAGCTTATAGAACAATCAGTTGAACTTCTAGGCAGACCACATACAGGGTCAGAAAGTCCCCATGGTTCATCGGCCGTTACGTGAGAGCGATAAAGTAAGTCATAGAAATCCGTGCGATAGAGAAAGATGGCTATAATGAAGGCGTCTAATAGTCACCGCCCATTTCGCCCTTCCACAAATAAGAAGTGCATATCTGTTATATAACAAAAGCTTCACCTGTCCAGTAGCTACAAGCTATTTCCGAAAACCCATTCCTCACGACGACTACCCCCCGGGAGGCTAGACAAGCCGGCGAAGAAAGAAAACTCAAGACACGAAGAGCGCCCTCTACCGGCGGGGGCCAGCCAGGGCAGGAGGAGGTCCCGCAAAGCGCCTACACCGGCCATGCTTGTGGTCGATGGACAGGGCCCACCTTCACGAGGCTGCCAGATTATCGAGACCACGTTTAACGCCAAAAATAACGGCGCGAACAAAAGCTTTGTTTTGTTCTGAAAACAAGAACTATAAAACTAATTCATTATCGACAGAACTGTATGCATTAAACTGTATTCTGAACTAAGTACATAATTCAGAATTCAAAAACGAAAACGCCAATCAGTCGCCGCAACAATGTTTTCTGCTCTCGGTCGCACTAAGTGACGTCACAATATGTTCTTAATCACATGCCAAAATTTAAATTTTACATATAATTGTAAACATCTATAAATTAATGTGTAGATTTTAGACTAAAAATGTGTGCAGTTCTAAAAGAAATTATATTTTCATGCCGGTTGTCCACCTTGAAAGAGTGTTTGAAACTATTTCAACTACAAGGGCAGATATTTATTTTCTTATATAACATTATAATAGTTTAGTTATATATTTTCTCGTGGTTGACCGAAAATATTAATTAAATTTGACACTAAATCTATTCTGTTTGGGAATTACTGCTTTTGCACTTGTTTGTATTTCGTGTTTTTCCCATCAATTTGTCACAATGACTTAAAAATTCACTTATTCACGTATATTCTACACAACAATATAATCTATTATTAGGAACTTTAATAGGTAGCTAATTTTGTTCCAATGATTATCATTTTTCTTTTTATCTGATGGTGGCATAATAGCCGTTCTGATCTACTTCATGTTCTACAAGAATTTCTATTAAAAAAAATTCGATGACGTCGACACGTGTAAACAGTTGAACGTGGAAGAGGCGGGAATACATAAATAAAGCTTCTTTTTAAACTGCAAAATAGAGGAGAAAACGTTATGGAAATAATCAATTTATATCTTTTATTCCGGATTACGAAAATTTGAGAAAAACAACATTTTTTAAATTTATCTTTGAAGGTATTTGTCGTACAGTGAAAAAACTGGGCTAATGGTTCATACCATATAATAATCTGCTGAATTCTAATACATGTACGTTAACCAGATACGTAATCATATTAAAAGAATTTTAGAAATTTGACACCGCTAGATATCTGCAAATTCAATCATTGGTTATAACAAATGACATTTAAAAAAACTGCTTGTTTTATTATCATTATTTCAAGGAATCTAAAACCAATCAGGAACTACCTAATACCTACATACTTAGAAATACGATTTTAAATAAAAAAATTTAATAAATCATTGGCGTAGATATTTTGCATATTGTTGCGAGTTGTTCCAGTTATTTTCGATTTATTGTTTCGCTTGGTAATAGTAATGAAACTTAAGGAGAAGTAATAATATTAAATAAAATGAGAAATACATTTTTCTTAAAAAATGTCGAACTTTCTGAGGTCCTTATCCATACATATTAATTTCCAGAATAGCTAGTTAGCATATTTATATAGCCCATGAGAGATAGTTTAGAAAATATAAAATATTTTTCATATTTTAAGAGACATGCAGGGTATCTCAGGATTTTTTTTTGGTTTAACCGTCCAAATTTAAATTTTAAAATTAGTCCTGAAAACCCTGTACATTTAATAACAAATTCAGTGATAAATAAAAAAACCTAAACTGCGAAGATGACCCTATTTTAACGGCAAAAAATGTAGGTCAATGCTTAAGAGGCTTTGCGCTTGAGTACCATTTTGGGAGTGATAAACTGTACTCTGTCAAGGCATTTGACTTTGTATCATTAATAATTCTTCTAATTTCTACCCAGTCGGTTTATAAACAGTAAATCATTATAGAAAAGATTTTTATTAAATTTACGGCTTTAATATTGTGTGCACTTATCATTTGTATCGGTTACACAAAGAATGTTCAGTTGCTTCAGTTTTTTTTGAATCGTTAATGGCTTTGAGTAGTTGTATGTAGTATCGTAAATACTAGATATAAAATACATTTAATATATTAAATTCGTTCGAATGATGAATGGTTTTCAGTTACCCATGGGTCTGAATATAACATATTTCACAGAATTATTAAAACTTATTGAAAATAAACGTGCAGAACATTTATTTTCCAACGCACTGGACTTTTTACAAGAACTAATCATGCGACTTATTAATATAAGTTTATAATTTCTCATAGAACTGTCGAAACAGATCAGTTTTCATTGCGAGGAAATACATATTTTTTACACTTATCGTATGTGGGTTAGTACCTACAAGTAGGGCAGAAATTTTAGATGGAATGGACATGAAATGACAAACATTTTTAATTTTTCTCTTCGCGCATTATTTTTTTGTTAGGATTAAGATACGAAAAAATATGCTATACAATTCCAATAAAATGTATTAATGAAAATGTGAAAAAACCTTTGGTGAAATTTCTACGACAATGACTTTTCTGAAAATGTGATATTTAACTATGTACGATGTTAGAAGTTTCAAATTCAGGCAAAATGGGAAAAGTAGTGGCATAGAAACTCCGCAATTTTTGGGTCTGTGCCCCTTATCTTTTAGCAAAATGCAAAATTTTTATGGCAATAATTTTATTTTTCATAAAAAATTCAGAATTTTGCTAGGTAGCTCAAATTTTCAAATGTCCCTAGTGTTTTTGAGATTAAACACAGTTTTCAACTTTAAAAGGAATAAAGATATCTTTAAGAAATAATAAGCTGAGACAAGAAAGATTAACACGGCATCAGGTCAAACTGCAATTTATTTTTTTCCTGTATGCTAAAATTTTTTTTTTTTTAACTAGTCTTTGTTACAAAACTTCACCTCTATTCTAATCACGTGAACATATAAATTTTCAGGGCACATCTGTTGTAGTTCGAAAGCATTATGGCACTTTTTCTGCCCTATTTGATCAAATATTAGGTATGAGGGTAGGCTACACTCGTAAAATAAAATAAATACTGCAGGGATATATGCTCATGAGCAGAGGGTAATGTTTGTGATGGATCAGGAAAGTAGAGGGATTGTTAGCAGAGTGACATGTTTTAGTATAGTGAAAAGAATTATTGTAAGCGATCCTCGTTTTAAGCTTGAATTCGCTGTGCAATATAAATTATAAAACTACATCTGAAGGGGTTAGAAGCAATACCACACAAGTGACATTTTTGCTGATTTCAAATAAATTTTAATAAACTTAACGATATTTTAATTGTAAACAACAATCTTTCTGTATCTCAATTACCTATGATTATATTTTTTCTTCTAAGGAAAGGAGTCGAAAGTTTTTGGTTTTATTTAAATATCAACAATACATGCTAAGAAAATAGTATGAAAATGTATTCCTTATATATTATACGGGGTTAAATGAGATATGGTTTGTTCATTAGAAGATTTTACTTTTAAATCATAGATTTCTCGTGAAGCTAATAGAAACTTAAAATGAATTTTAAGTTGCAATTTTTAGGATTCTTAGAAAAATTGTAGTGAGTAAATGAGTGAGCGGTGAGCGAGTGTGAGTGGGCGAGTGGTGAGTGAGTGAGTGAGCGAGTGAGTGAGTGTGTGCGTGAGTGAGTGAGTCAGTGAGTGAGTGAGTGAGTGACCAAGTCACTGATTGTGAGTCAGTAAGTAAATAAAAGAGTAAGTGAATAAATGAATAGGTGAATAAGGAATAAGCTAAATAAGCGAATAAGTGAATAAATGAGTAAATTAATATGTGAATAGATGAATAAGCAAGCAAGCAAGCAGGTAAGCACTCAAGCAAGCAAGCAAGTAAGTAAGTAAGTAGATAAGTAAACAAGGAAGGAATCGACAGATCGGCGGGCGCTTTACAAAAAATTTTTGGTATGGTCAAAATTGGTTAAAATCGACATCAGTTCAAAGTTTACGTCTGATGGATTTGCTTTGTTGAAAACTGGCTACTTAATCCTACTCGTAATAATCTTTATTTCTTCGAACAAATACGTTACATATTGTATAAGATTAGTCAAAAGAAGGCAACTACAAAGCCAACATAAATATCATAAATATAATAAATATAAACAAACAATACAATTGAATAAAATCATGTTATATGAAAATATTGGTCAAGGCTATAAAACGTTTGTCTATTATATTATGATTTCAGATTTGGGTTCTTTATATATTAATAAAGCTGTCACAACTGAGCCGCAGGACATAGGCTTACGCATTATTTATTTAAAAAACAACAAATTAAATTGTCTATAATACACCACCATAAACAGCAACGGATAGGAATTAGTTAGGTACGCAACATCCGCACGA